CGAAAAAGTTAAGGTTTGGTAAATTCCACACTGTAAACACTGTGAAATAATGGTGACTTCCAGTCAGTGTTTAGTAAAAGTTGCAAATATGCTGTCTTATATATAAAAAATTTGAATGAAGTTGTAGCATGTACTACACATAAAAACATTTAGCGATAAGAGACGACAAACAGAAATGAAATAGTATATAATAATTAGTTATGAATGAAAATAAGAAATATAGATTTGTCTCTTCTCTATCTAGAAAAAGATTATGGTTTTCACTCCATAGCATATCATGAATAAAAGAACACTGGAGGCAATTAATCACAAACTAACGCTTACATGAAGAGAAACCAAGACAGGAGAATCTTTAGAGAAACCCATAGCAGTTATTCATTAATACGATATCATCCTATACTCAATAGCATTCTATTAATAAAAAATATGAACACTGAATGAATAGGCTGAGACGGAAATATATTGCTTATCTTCGTCCTTAAAGTCTTATCTCTGGCTGCGTTTCAGACAGCTACATGTAGTCATGTTTTAAAAAGAAATCCATAGAAAAGAAAAAGATATCACCCTTATTGTGTAATTCGCAGAAGAAAGCACATACATATCTCAATTATTGACTATTTCAGGGCAACATTATTTAAATACTCATCTGGGGAGAAAAAGGCTTCCATTGTAAACCTGTGTTAAATTGAAGAACCATTCCAACAAAAGACAAAAATCCAATCAGTTTTTAAAAAATCTAGAGTCTAACACCACACACTCGACTCGACTGGACTAGTTCACATGTTGTAGTTGTATCCTGTATTCTATACAGAAAGATACACCACAAATTATGCAAATAAGCTAAATAAAATGCAATAAAATGGTGATATTTTCTTTAAACCAACAGGTAAACATCAAATTTAGTTCTAGGATACTAAATGTATATTGCAACCCAATTAATGTTTAGTGTATCAGATCATAAATATGTAAATGAGCTCATGAATATGTAAATTATCTAAATAAGTTAAGCCATTGCATATTTGACCATTACTGTAGACTTCATAAAACAATAATGTTAAAATCTACGTTTGTGTTTAAAATGGTAGTACACGTATAAATCTAAAATGTAGAATGCTAATTAGGGTACCAGTAGTTAACACAATTTGCAATTCATTCATTGTGATATTTGGGAAGATAATTTCTATAATTACATGCTATTCAACGTGACTGCCAGCTCAAAACAATAGTGAAATTGTGATCTCCTTAGTTATTTTTTTTCTGAGTTTTTATCAGTGACATGGCAACACACACTTGTAAGACATGTAGTCCTATGACTATTTTTTTTATTTTCAGTGGAAATTGGAATTGTAGTAGACTGAAATACTTTCGACTGTTAAGAGACTTGCAAAACTATTTATTGCCCTCTTGTGACTGAGTTGAATTTTCTTTTGTTTTTATTAGTTACCAAATGACAATAATGAATAGAAAGACCTTATAAGTTTACACCACTACAGCTGGTTGTCTCTTTCAAAGGAATGGTAACTTTTAATTCAATGTTTCATCTTAAAAACAAGTCATTGAAAATGACACTTCGTCAGAACGAGGACTAATAAGGCTTTGTCAGGAATTGGTGATATGACACACCTGATGAATGGTCTTACACTCCTTGCAAGACCATTCTCATCCATCCTATATGCCACAGTGGATTAACCTTTGAGACCGAACACTATTTACTACTATAAGAAATTGATTTAATATATTATTGTAGTTTTTGAGCAAACATTACATACCACTGTACCTGCATTCAGAATATGAGTGGCATTGCCAACAATAATGAAATACATGGTATGGGGCCAATCAGAATTGCTCAGCAGTAGTATGGATCAGAAATTTGGCCCGGCAAATGCATTACTGAGAGATAATCATAACATGGTCTACCTACCTTTAATTATTTCTTGTGAGGGACTGCGGACGTTTTGATAGTAAATAAACCTTTCAACAACTTAGCATTACATGGAGTTTGTAAATCAGAGGGTGGCAATATAACGCCATTGTCACCAACGTACACATAGCTATGCATATGTTAAAGAAAAACCATGCATGAAGACAAAAAGCGAACAGAAACAGAAGTTTTGGCATTCTGAGTAAATTTCTCAGAATTCTATGCAAATGGGAGTTAC